TTCAACACTTAATATGTGCCAGACATTCTAGGTGCTAAGGATAGCAAAAAAAGTAAAGGTCCACGTATATTCTGGAGGGAAATTCAAGACATTAAATAGATAAATTAATTTTAAAAAAACAATATTGAAGTTAAGAATCACCATATTTATAATTTTAATTGACTAGATTTATACGAGTATTTAAGAACTTAGAAACATGTTATGTCAGCAATTGAAAGATATACAGATGAAATAGAATATATTAAATGAATAAAGTAGTTTATTAAAAGAAATTAATTAATATTGTGTAAAAGAGCATATAGGAGCCCTGGTGGTGCAGTAGTTAAAGCGCTCTGCTGCTAACCAAAAGGTCAATAATCAAAAGGAAGCCACCAGCTGCTCCACAGGAGAAAGATGTGGCAGCCGGCTTCTGTAAAGAATGACAGCTTTGGAAACCCTATGGAGCAGTTCTACTCTGTCCTATAGGGTCACTATGAGTGAGAATTGACTCGATGACAAAGGGTTTGGTTTGGTAATAGAGCACATGGAGTGCCTGGATGGTACAAACAGTTAAGTACTCAGCTACTAACTGAAAGATTGGCAGATTGAAAAAGGCCTGGTGATGTGCTTCCAAAAGATCACAGCTATTGAAAACCCCATGGAGCAGAGTTCTACTCTGAAACATAGAGGGTTGCCGTGAGTCAGAATCTAGTCAGTGGCAAGTAGTATCTTGGTGGTACAACAGAGCATATATTTATCAGTTGATTTCTTAAGTATAACTTGGAGAATTATTTTATTTATAAATAGAATAATATACAAAAATTGTCCTTGAAAATTTGAGAAAGATTTAGATTTTTTAATTTACAGATTTAAAATTATAAATGTTAAGAAACCAAACGTCGGTTTTTTTTTAAATCAAATAATAATTTGAAAAATCTGAATAAACACAACTTTTTCAGAGTAAAAAAGTTCACATCAACATAAAAACAATTTATAATTACTACAAACTAAATGTTCATCCTCCAAAATGTTATCAAAATTACCAGGAAACTATTTGTTCCAGGGTTTTACAGACAGTTCAAGAACATTTCAAACTATATACTAACTAAACATTTAATCTCAGTTTTATGTAAATATGGATATAATCTAAATATAAAGATACAATTGTATGTAGATTATATCTAAACCTAGAGTAAATACTCACAAACCATTTTATAAAAAAATGATTTTATCAAAGTAAGCTGAAATGAATAGATAACTACAGTATTCATATTTCTTACTTAAAGCAAATTAGTAACATTTCAATGATAGGAATATTTTAGAAAAGATATTTTAGATTACCTTTATCTCTTTAGATATACATTTTAAATAAAATAATTGACACTAATTTTTTTCTGAAAGAAAATTATATATTTTGATTATGTAAAAAGTTACAATTCAGTCAGGGAATAAGTGGACAAGAAATTCATGAAAATGGATTTAATGAGAATGGGATGCTTGGATATTGTTCCTATGGTCTATCAAAGAATGCTTGTAACTCTATACAACCATGAAGGACGATGCATACCTAAATTTATGCAGCAGAGGGCACTCTATACAGCCTTAATTTTCTGACCTAGCTCTTTCTTTTATATTTCAGAGAGATTTTTTTTAATTCTATAGTCAAATTTATAATTGAAATTTAAATTATCATCATGCTATTTGAACAATAAAGCAAGAAACACACTCTAATCTTTAATCCAAAGGATATTATATATTTTACACATAAATTCTGTAAAACAAACTTAAGCCCAAGCTCAGTAAAAATATAGTTATCTTTAAAATGATGTTATGAACTTTAAAAAGTCAGATTTACTGAACCATATAGAATTTGCAGGGTCTAAAAGATAAAGTACGAACCAAAATTATTTTTATAGAAAGATGTGATTACACTTTACGCAATTTTTTTAT